GAAGACGATTTTGCACTAGATACTGATGAAGAATTTGAATTGCTAGTGGAATCAGAAGTTATATCGCTACTCTTTCCGATAATATACAGTATCTTAATTAAGAGGATGTGGTTGTCTTGTGTTCATACATACGCACACCCACACCCAAGATAGATTTGTTGTAAGTCAAATGGTGATAGTATACTAAAACAATTCGTATATGTGTAGAAATCTCACTGAATAAACGAATACTATTAATGATTATTTTCAATATGAACTGCATTCAGATGTGCTGAAGATAAATAATTATCGATACAAGAATGTTTCTTTTAACTTGTCTAGATTTCATTTTCATTTATTAACACAAAAAAATAAATAAATTTTGATGTTTTACATAAGTCTTTAGTTTTCTATTACTAATCTTTGAATAAATGGTTGAGCAAAATGTTTTATTTGTTCGTAATAATTTTGATTATATGAATGACCTTCAGAATTCCATTTCAGAATAATTTCTTTTGTAATACAATTTTCATCAAGGAAAAACTGAAATAATCTTGATATTGTTTCAGCTAAATGAATAATTTTATATTATTCAATTAACATTCTATCAAATAACTTACTTGACCAATTTTCATTTTTTTTCTTTTCTGACGAGGGAACCACCCGAGGTGTCAAAAACCTTTTGAGCTGAAATTCTGCCCATATGTAGAGGACATATAGACTAGAAAAAGCCTAAGATGATATGTGCGCAAGTTGAGATTTAGCTGAGATATCGACTTTTTACTAGAACTTTCCTATGAGATCCCATTTCCACTATAAACTTAAAGTTTCGTGTTTTGATCTGAAACTTGGCCCATATCAAGGCCTTAGTTAGAGTAACTCGTCCACAAAGTTTCACAATTTTTGAACTGTGCATTCCCGAGATATAATGCTTTTAAAATATCCATACACGTACAACAACATCCGTAAAAAACTGTGTTAATGCTAACTGACTCATATCTCGGGAATGCACAGTTCAAAAATTGTGAAACTTTGTGGACGA